TCTCAGCTGGTAACCCATGGAACGTCTTTCCCTGTACCAGGTTGATCATGGCAGGTTTGATCTCAAAGTCTTGCCTGGTACATGGAGGTGGAGCAATGGCAAAGCGTGTAGCAGGGATGTTACGCGGTAGGTTTCTCTGCCCGATCGGAGCAGCTTGCTCCGGCCGTTCCAGCTGCGCAAGAGCAGCCTGTTGAGCAGCATCCTGCTGAGCTTGGATGGTCTACTGCATCTGAAGCATCTGTTGTTGCATCTGTTGCAACACAGCAGCGAGTTGTTCTGGAGTGCCGTAGTCGCCCATTGTGGCGTTGTTTGGCCTTTGTTGTTGTCGATTGGTTCTTTCTAACCTTGCTAGCTCCTGATTGCTAAGTATAACTAAATCTCCTTGTGCGTTGCTCCGAGTATGTCTACTGGTCATGCACCTGAAACATTAGCTGCAGCAAATAGGATAAGGCAATTTAGAGGTTTTAGACTAAATAAATAACCAAAAATAAAGGTAAAAAGATGGTCCCCGGCAACGGCGCCAAATTTGATATGCTCATATTAACCTTCAAGTTACTCTCTCAAATAAGAGGTTCAATGTAGTACTTGAGGATCGAATCCACAGAGACCAAATATTACACTTTATTTTTATAGGATCAATATTAAGCTAAAACAATATGGGGTTTTAAAATAAAGAAAGCGTAGAAAGCATGTAACATGAATTGATTAGGTTTCAGATTTAAGAGAATGCTAGTCTAGGGTGAAGGATTGGGTATCAAACGATCATGAGCCAAACATCTATTCAAGGTTTTATTAAGCACAAGTCTAGAACTTAAAAGACAAATAAAGATTGACCCACTCTCGTGGTATCTCCCCTTTTAACAATCAGCCTTAATACCTAAACTCTCGTTTGGACTAAAACATGAAAGCAAACATTAAGATCAGATTCGATAAGTTCACAGAACGCCCTAACATCTACTTTTGCTGGTTAGGGACGAGCTGCCCATTCAAGTAATTTCTAGCAACCTAAAACACTTTTGATGAATAGATTAAACCTAGAATCAAGCACTAAGTAGCTAGTTTAATGCAGGCAGTAAGTATAAACATGAATTGAGACAATCAATTAATGAACCTTATTTGTATTTAGCTCGTGGATCTAAACACCCTAGACTAAGCAAGCTGACTACTCAGCCATGAACAGAGAAATCACAGAGTCAATGATGAAGAAAACATGTCTGAATTAATAAATAATAAGTAAGAGGGTTTAGAAATCTTCTCCAAAGGTTGTAGAGATCCTTCTCCCTCAAAGATACAAAGTATTGAAATCAAAAGCTCTAGAGTTGTTTCTCTGGTAAAAAGTAGTGTAGAAAATAATAGAAAAGAGGAAAAGAAGATATATGGTGGTTGCTGGCAGCTGGGAGAGAAAAATAGGAGAATTAGGGAAAATCCCAAAATATGTTGTAATTTCTTTAAAAATCTCGCGCCGCAAGAACAGGCGCTTAAGGCTGCTCCACTCACTCGGGAACAGTTTGCAAACTGTTCTTCGTGAAAATTATCAAATTGCAATCTTTTTCGCCAACTGGTCCATCTTCCATCTAAATGCAACTCTATGCCTGTAATGACTTAAAAATGACTAAAAAGACTCGATAAAGACTTAAAAACACTTTAGAAAACATTGTTAGAATATGCTAAAAACACCATATATCAATAATCAAAATAAACTATTAATAATTGATATCAAATATTTTTAAGTTCTAAGTTGACCTTTAAAATTTAAATAGATTCTAACATGCGCTTTTAAAACAGGAAAATGATATTTATCATAATATTAAGAAAATATTAACAAAATGTTATTTTAGTATATTTAAAATGTATAATTATATAATTTATATAATAGCCAATTTATATAAGATATTACTTATTTTTTATTTTCAGTTATTTAAAATATTTTATTATATTTGTTTAATAAAAGCTCTACAATTAATTTGATTAATTGTGTGATATATATTTGATAAATTTAAAATGTAATTTAATATGAAAGTTTATGGAGGAATGTCACTTTTACTTTCTATTTGGTACAATTATCCATGTTTACCTTCTTTAAGAGGACATTTTCAAAAATAACTAAACATGTAGTTCCATTAAGGAAACAAAAGATATTTATGCTATTGATTTATAAATATAAAACTATTTAAATAAATAAAAATAAAACATTTAAAAACAAAAAAAAAACTGAATCTTGATTTTAAAAATTTGAAGGTTTTTATTAAAAAAAATTGATTTTTTAATTATTTTTTCATATTTTCATTTTGAAACTCTTTTTATTTTTACTTTAAATATTTATTTATATTTTTATTAAAATTTTAAACCCTACCCTTCAAAACCCCACCCCTAAATGTAAACCCTAAGTTTAAATTAGTTAACCCTTGGGTTATAAATGTCTATTTACCTCTTTAAAATCAAAGATAAATGTGGTTAAGGTAAATATGAAAAATACAAAAAAAAACGCTAGTTTTGAAAATTTCTCAAAGTTTGTCTAAATTTAAATGAATGTAATATTCTATTTATGAAAATATAAATAAAATAAAATATTAATTTAATTGATTCCATATTATATGAAATTAGTCTGTAGTATCTAAAACTGAAAAAATAGTTATACTTGTTTTCAATTTATTTGTATAAACTATTTGAGTATTTTAGTCTATTATTTTATTTATCAAATAATTTGAAATAGATTTATAAAAGTGGGATCTAATATTTAAATATTTTTTGGACATAGGATTAATTATTATATTGTTTGGAAACCTAAATAGTAGTATAATGTTATTTCTATAATTATCTTAATGTATTTCTAATGTCTTCATTAATTAATAATATTTTATGTATAATATACCACATGACTAAAGGTTAGATCCAACACAATATTCATTTTTTAATAAGATGGATATTACTTGAAAATGTTAAAATAATAATGATAATTGCGAATAAAAAGACTTTACAACTAAATCATAAATTTAAATATAGAAAATAGTACATGGAGTCATAGACATGGATATTCATGTTTTTAGACTGAGTCTGAATCAATTTTTATCTGCTCAGGTTTATTTGGATCGATTCTTCCTAGATCGTGGTTTTTTCAAATAAGTTATTTTCGGTTCTCATTTTCAGGACTAGAAGATTTTGGATAAATATTTATAATTTTCAGTTCAATTTCTGGTCGGCTAATTGTCACAGGCACGGAAGTTGGGTCGATGGATTGAATGGTTGATGGGTCGATTTTATCGAAGGAGATAAAGATCGGATGGGAAGATGGTGAGGATGACCGACTTGCTGTTCTTTTAAGTTCAATCTAACCTGAAAATAAAGGAAGGACGATGAATTTATTATCAATAATGAAAATGAGAACAAAAACTAAACAGTCTAAACTGAAAAAGAGATGAAATGATTGATGGATAGATGTTTGATGATCGATGATGGATGATGGATAGATGATGTTGGAGAGATGATGATTGATTGTCTCAATCTCTGGGTACTGATTAAATCCTTCAATATGTGTCTCAAGACTCCTAAAATCACATAAAGAACCTATAAATCACAAGCTTAGTAGACTTCTAATGCTTCTCACAATTAGAATCTAAAGAACACTTTTGAAAAGAAATTGCTTTGCATATTATTATATTGATTGAAAGGTGAATCACAACTGAGATCCTAAGTGAGCTTATATAATGCTCACTGATAACTAAAGCCAACGTTTATCAGAAATAAAAAAGGAAACAAATCAAATAAGAAACAGACTGGAAACTAACCGTTGGAGAAATTCAGCATGTGGGTCCCATGTTCAAATTTTTTTAGTTTGTAAAATAATTAATTCAGTTTTAATAATAAATAAATATTTATTTTATATAAATATTTATTTTAAATAAATAGTAATATATAGTTTAACGTTTACTCTAGTATAAAACACCATTCCAAACATGATAGTTCATATTTACTATATTTTTCTAAATAATCAACTTCATATACATTTTTATCATATATTTATTGTGTTAGATTTTAATGGGTTATTATTTATATGAAAATGCATTAAAATAATATGTTTACAGAGTAATTTATATTTATATTTTATATATTGATTAGTTTTTATATCTATTTTACTTTTTTAGTTAATGCCAATTAAAAATAAAAAAATATAACTACATAGCTTTAAAAATATATATATTTATAAACTTAAAAATGAATAAAATTTTGAAAATAGTAATTTTAAATGCCAAAAAAACTTTATATAATTAACAAGTTTAGGATTTAGTACTTAGAGTTTTGTACATGTTATTAGTACTTAAAATGATATATAATATTTAAACATTTGTTATTACTTTTTAAATAGATGATAAAATTGTTGACAAAAAAGTGGATGATAAAACATAATTTACTGAATTTAAAAGCAAATAAATTTGAACTATATGGTTAGTATGTTTACAATTATTTTAAGTGTGAATTCGTATTATAAAATATTTTTAAAAAAATTAGATATATATTTATTCTTTAAAAATCGTAAATAAAGAAGTTATTTTATATAATTATTTCATATGTTAAGTTATTAGGTAAGATATTTTAATAATTTAATATTTACCAATTACACTAATTTAGAAGATCATATATATGCATATTTTAAACTATGGTACATTATAGTGTTAAACAATAAATTGATTTTAGTGTTATTTTCTTGACTGATAAGAGGAGACTGAAAATAAAATACAGTAATATGATTCTGCACAGTTTTCAAACTATTGCAAATTTGCAACGCAAAAACTAGCATGTTCAATAGAAACTTGGCATACAAGTTAACTTCTTGCATCATCAAACCATCTATTGCAACTCGTTTCAGCTCAAGTCAGTCTAAAACAATCACCAGCTTTGTTTATCATTAACAAAACAGATAGCAATGTTCTGGAAAGATGCACGAAAACAAAGAAACAAAGTACAGTATCTTCAAAATAATTAGCTCAGAGTGTCTATCCTCTTTACTCTGAAACTGATAGACAATGCTGCAACCTATAGCCACTAGGGACACTCCCCATTAGCTGAGCCGGTTCTGCATCCCCAACAATCCCTCCTCCTTCACTCCTAACCAAACCAATCATCCTACACCAAACCTCCTTCATTGCACAACCAACAAAAGCAAAGTCTCTCCATAGAAACGCCATCTTCCCATAGTACTCCCCCATTGCAACAGACCGAACCTTCTTCATATCATCCAAACCATTCACCACTCTCCATAGCCCTAGCACAGTGTCATACCACATCAACCCGAACCTAGCGTAATAAACGTAAAGCACATTGTCGATCACACACACGCCAGTCCCCCACCACTTATCACTCGGCAAATCAAAAACCTCACAAGAACCATCTCTGGTATCGTAGCAAACAACGATGGATTCAGCAGACTTTAACGCACAAACCTTTCTGTCTAACGACACATTAGCCGTCGGAAGATACCATATGTCTCTGTCTGGGTCAGCAGGAATCGGCGCTGGCTCCCATGTTTGCGTCTTTACGTTTAACGATTCAGCGAGATGAATCTCATCTTTCAAGTAGCCTCCCACCACGTATATCTTACTTCCCACTAACCCCACGCTCTTTAAAAAGCGTTCCACGCTCATATCTGGTCCTTGTCGAAACTCGCCGGTTCGAGAATCAAAGACCCACATGGTTGATGAAGGAAAGAAAGATCCGGAGATAAAGAAAATCTCAGGACCACAAGCGATGATGGAAGGCATAGGTTCTTGTTCACGATCAGGAAACACGAGGTCGTCCACGGAGACGAACTGATCATTCTCAGTTCTGCGGAGAGTGAACCAACGTTGGGTGTTGACGCCGTTTACGTCTTGCATGAAGCAGATGTAGACTGAGTCTTTGCGGAGTAGAGAGCGGAGCCTGTGAATCTCCGGTGAGCGAACAAGAGAGCGTAGGGTCTTGGAGACGCAAGCGAGGATTGGGTATAGGCGTTTTGGCACGCGCGCTAAGATGAGCCATGCGAGGTCCTTATGCAGTGATGAAAACTGTGACGGATGAGACATTGGTTTCTTGAGTTTCTTTGGAGGTGGCACGTCGATGTTAGAGGCGGGGAATGAAAAGACTTCAAAGATAGTCAGTTCACACGACTATTTTATCTTTTATACTACAGATGAGAAGTTCGTTAAGTCCGTTATTTTTTTTTTCTTTAAATAATTAATTTTTGGTCAACGTAATAACTGTTGACAAACTTCAAAATGAATTATGATTTTTCTTTTAAATCTATATTGTTATAACTGAAATACATTTTGGTATTGTGATAGCAGTATAAAAAAATAGTTTTTATTATAAATTTAATCTTTACATTTACAATAAATTAAGTATTTTTTTATTTATAGATTCTACCATTGTATTTAAAATAAATTTACATTAAATAGTTATAATTTCAAAGCTTATCTAACAAAATGGATATTCATATATTGACCATAAATTTTTTTTAGTATGTTAGTTTATTTTTAAAATAAATTAGCAAGAAAAACAATAGGTTAATATATAAATAGTAATTACATCAAATTGCATCAAGCTATAAATTTTTAATATAATATTATGTAAAAATAAAAAGAAATATTATCAAACATCTATATTATAATATAATATATTCTATTCTGTATTTAAATTACAAAACATAAAAAATAAACATTAGATTTTTTTCTCACGCTAACGATTTATGAGCTTACGTTGAACATATGTTAAAATCAAACATTTGAGCGGAAACATGGGTCAAGTTCTAGTTATGTTTAAAATACACGGCATTGGCAATAAAAATTTTATTTTCTTACGAAGTCAACTTGTTTTAACCAATAATCCTCTATGACTTATTCTTGGATTTATCCTTAGGGTGAATTTTTAGGTTCACCAACCAATAAGAGTATATTATTACATATTTAATCTTAAAAAAAAGAAACAAAATATTGTCAAATTATATTGTGTGTTTTAAAATAAAAAGAAAAAATAAATAAAATAATAATAATATTTGAAAAACAATTTTTTTAAACATTTTTAACACCGTCAGCTTAACTCTAAACCCTAAACCCTAAACCCTAAACCCTAAATCATAAACCCTAAACCTTTGGATAAACCATAAACCCTCAGATAAATCCTAAATTCTAAAACAGAAACACTAAACAGTAAATCTTAGAAACACTAAACCCTTAATCCTAACTTCTAAACCCTTGGATAAATTTTGAACCCTAGAGTTTATGGTTTATCCCAGAGTTAGAGTTTACTGTTTAAGAATTTGTGTTTAGTATTTAGGTTTACTACAGGTGAGAAGTTCGTTAAGTCCATTATTTTTTCCTTTTAATATTTAATCTTTCGTCAACGTAATAACTGTTGACAAAATTCAAAATGAATTATGATTTTCGTTTAAATTATGCTTAAAATACACAGTTTTGGTAATCAAAGTTTTATTTGCTTACAAATTTGACATTTTAACCTATATAATTCTTTATATACTAAAGAACAATTTCATAGGATAATCTGTTTATATTATTTTCATAAAAAGAACATTCAAGATTCAAAATGATCAAACAAGATTTTTGTGAAGGGTAAATATACTCTTATATCCTAAAGTTAATTAATCATAAACCTTTTTTATTTAAAGTTAATTTTGTTACGTGCATTCTCTTTGTTACGTACATTCTCTTCCCGGTTAAAATAAAAAATGTTTCAACTATTTCTTTTTTCTGTAAATCGAGTATTAATGGGCCAAAAGAGTTATTGACTTTGCGAACCCTAGTGTGTTTATTTATATAAAGTATGGGAAGGGGGGGAGGGGGAGATAAAAATTGCGGCCTGCTTCCATCATCCAACTTCTCGAGCAAGCTTCTTCGATTATCCGTTGTAAGTCTTTCTCTTTTTTTTTTTTAACTTGTGGTAATAATGAAGGTTGGTTCTGTAACGATCTCATTGATATTGATAGACATAGAAGGGGTTGTGTCTTTAGAACTGCAATAGAACAAAGAGAAATCGAATAAATAATTTTCCTGTGGTTATTTTTTGTTTTTGGACCAGGAATAATGGAGAACGAATTCAAGAAGATAAGCAGTGCGGTTCCAAAGGAAAGCGATTTTATTGATGTCATCGTTTCTCTCAAGGAGCGGACACCAACACGTTGTACCTACGTTGACGAGTCTACGTTGATGGATAAATGTGCCGACAAGGTCCCCTCTGCTGAGAGAAGATTTTCAGACATGTTATTTAAGGTTTTTGAAGAGTTTCCAAGCCTATCTCGGGTTGGTCAGTTGTATGCTAGCGTTCTTAATCAGCGCTTCAATTACTTTCACTATGTGGATGCCCGAACTGAAGTCATGTATGCAAGTATGATGATGATCGACATCTCTGAGACGTATCAGACCCTCCTCGCTGCAGATGACTGTGATTCCCTGGACAAGTGCAAGTCCCTTAAAAGGGCTGCTTTTGCGTGTATGCTTGCTGTTGTGAGGAGATGTGTTCCCAGTCTCCACTTTCTCGACAAAGTCCGTGAGTACATGGCCAATTTGGATGATGCTGGTGGTGAGCATGCTTCTGCTTCTGCTGCTGTGAATTACAAGCACGGTGAAGGCTACACTGTCCAGCAACTCTTGCTACATGATTTTGCTGAAAACTTTGAGCAACTTGTTGATCCACAGACTTTGGTTTGGCTTGAGGAGCTGGATCGTGGAGAGTCTCAAAGATGTGAAATTGGTCCGTTGTGCTGATTGATTGGTTTTAAAGAAAATCTAATTCTTAACTAAACAGTCTGATTTATTGATTCAATTTTTTTTTCTTTTTTTATGAGCCGAAAAGTAAAATAGTTATTTTATTGATTCACATTTTATTTAATGAGCCCAAGAATAAAATATTTACTTTCTTCTAATGAAGAATTACATTTTAATCATAGTTTGTATATTTATTTGTGATTTGCCCCGTACAAAATTTTATGCTACATTCCCACTGCCTAGCGCACTACCGTAAGGTTAGGTTAGGTTACATCATGAATCCACATCACAATTCATGACCATGATGGCTTAATGTATGCAGTGGCGTGCCTAGGTAAGTGGGGCTCAAGGCAAATTGTAAAACAATAATTTTTTATTTATAAAAGGTCTAATTCTAATGAGAAAATAATTCAAAAGCTGGGAAAAGTCGAATTTGAGTATCATGTGCACATATAGAGTGATAATCCTCTTTCCTCCCTTCCCTCTTCACACTCACGGATTCTTTAGAGGGAGGAGGAGATTTGTGTTTTTTTTTGTTGTAAAATATTATTTAGAGCATCTCCAATGGTGTTACCACCATTGGAGTCCTTAGCAATATTAAAGTGATTTTTTTTGTTTTGATTTTTTTGTTTGAATAGTTAAGGACTTTTATAAAAAATATGTGTCTAATGGTGTACTTCATTTAGGAGTTCCTAGAAAAAAATATATTTAATTTTTAAAGATATTATACATGTGAAAGTTGTATGTAAATGGCAAGTTATGTTTCTGAAAATACAAAGTAATGAAACAAGAATCCAGTACTCATATGAAGATTCGGGAGCTAGAATGTGTACCTTGCTTATGGCTAAACCAATGGCAATGCCACTGTACAGAACATGAGTGATACCCAGGACAAATAAGACATGCAACTACATACTTTTGAACACTCTTTTGGAGTTCAGAATATCTATTTGCAGGCAACAAAGTGTTTCCAACTGATCGATGAACTCATTGCCACCATAACACCTGTGAGACATGGACAACAGCAACACTATCAATACTCAGCTTGACTAAAGTTGAATGAAAGACTCAAACTTTATCAACAAACATAACCAAATCAGACACCACATATGAAATTACCTCTGTGCGTTATGAAGCCATCTGTTCTGCAACAAAACCAATCCACAAGTTGGTGTAGTTCAGACATAAATATCAAAATTTCTATGGAGTTTTAAAAGGGCACCTAGAAAACAGATCTATGTCGAAGTCTTTTCCAGTTGAATGGCTTCAGGTCTCTCTATCACTTAGATTTTAAGGAGGCTAAATCAAACAAATGTTCTATCGCTGGCTCTCCTTGTTTCAATTCATTATAAGCTTTTCTCAGATCCTACAAAATTCTTTAGATTGAAAATCCAAATAAGACAGCTCCAATAACTTAAAGACAAGACAAAAAAATCCCATACTGCCAAACGTATATGCCTGGACAGGCTCAATCAAGAAAGCTAAGGATGTCATAAATGAAACATAGAGAGAACACAATTCAAACCCTAGATTACTGAAACATAGAGAGAACACAATAACTCCAAATCGATTTTCGATTAGATCTAGTAAACTTACAGATCGAGGACGGCGTCTTCCTCACCGGTAGTGACGGCAACCTCCTCAAGCCTAATGATCGGAGCGACTTGAGCTCCGGTGTCCTCGTTAGCTCCAGCTTCCTCCACGTCTCTGTGCTCGGGTTCGTTGGTGGCCATAGTATCTACGGATCGAGGTTATTTGGTGGATTCGATTGTTCGCTATGTTGTACCTGCCACGTCATAAGGATCAGCTCAAATTAATCCTTAGGTAAGGATGAGTCCGTAACTTTTCTTGAGTTTATATTAATATTATATTCAATTAACTTAAGGATTTTGTTCTAAGGATTTGCTTTAATACCCGTTGTACATGCTCTTACAATATGTTACGTTGCAGTTATTTTTTAAACTATTGCAACGCAGAAACTAGCAGTAGCAGTTTTAAGAAACTTGGCACACAAGTTAACTTCGACCATATCAAACCATCTATTGCAAGTTTGCAACTCATTTTCATCATCAACAAAACACAGAGCAACCTTTTGTTACGTATTTGGAAAGATGCAGGAAAACAAAGTAACTTGGCTTACAAGTTAACTTTGAGCATATCAAACCATCTATTGCACACAGAGCAATCTTCTTTTTAATCTGTGGAAAGATGAAGGAAAACAAAGAAACAAACCATAGTAGTATCTACAACTTCAAGATAATTAGCTCACAATGTCTATCCTCTTTACTCTGAAACTGATAGGCAATCCTCCAACTTATGGCCACGAGGTACACTCCCCATAAGCTCACCCGGTTCTGCATTCCCAACGATCCCTCCTTCTTCACTCCTCTCCAAACAAATCATCCTACACCAAACCTCCTTCATTGCACAACCAACAAAAGCAAAATCTCTCCATAGAAACGCCATCTTCCCATAGTATTCTCCCATTGCAACAGACCGAACCTTCTTCATATCATCCAAACCCTTCACCACTCTCCATAGCCCCAGCTCAGTGTCGTACCACATCAACCCGAACCTAGCGTAATAAACGTAGAGCACATTGTCCATCACACACACGCCAGTCCTCCACCACTTATCTCTCGGCAAATCAAAAGCCTCACAAGAACCATCTCTAGGATCGTAGCAAATAGTGATGGATTCAGCAGACCTTAACGCACAAACCTTTCTGTCTAACGACACATTAGCGGTCGGAAGACACCATACGTCTCTGTTTGGTTCAGCAGGAATCGGCGCTGGCTCCCATGTTTGAGTCTTTACGTCGAACGATTCAGCGGGATGAAACTCATCGATCAAGTAGCGTCCCACCACGTATATCTTACTTCCCACTAACCCCACGCTCTTGAAAAGCCGGCGTACGCTCATACTTGGTCCTTGCCGAAACTCGCCGGTTCGAGAATCAAAGATCCATACGGTTGATGAAGGAAAGATTGATCCGGAGATAAAGAAAATCTCAGGACCACAAGCGATGATGGAAGGCATGGGCTCTTCTTCACGATCAGGAAACACGAGGTCGTCCACGGAGACGAACTGATCATTCTCAGTTCTGCGGAGAGTGAACCAACGTTGGGTGTTGACGCCGTTTACGTCTTGCATGAAGCAGATGTAGACTGAGTCTTTGCGGAGTAGAGAGCGGAGCCTGTGAATCTCCGGCGAGCGAACAAGAGAGCGTAGGGTCTTGGAGACGCAAGCGAGGATTGGGTATAGGCGTTTCGGCACGCGCGCTAAGATGAGCCATGCGAGGTCCTTATGCAGTGATGAAAACTGTGACGGAGACATTGGTTTCTTGAGTTCTTTTTGGCGGTGGCACGTCGATGTTAGAGGCGGGGAATGCAAAAACTTCAAAGATAGTCAGTTAACACGACTCTTTTATCTTTTATACTACAGATGAGAAGTTCGTTAAGTCCGTTATTTTTTTTTTCTTTAAATAATTAATTTTTGGTCAACGTAATAACTGTTGACAAACTTCAAAATGAATTATGATTTTTCTTTTACATCTATATTGTTATAACTGAAATACATTTTGGGATTGTGATAGCAGTATAAAAAAATATTTTTTATTATAAATTTAATCTTTACATTTATTTTTTTTATTTATAGATTCTACCATTATATTTAAAATAAATTTACATTAAATAATTATAATTTCAAATCCTATCTAACAAAATGGATATTCATATATTGACCATTAATTTTTTTTAGTATGTTAGTTTATTTTTAAAATAAATTAGCAAGAAAAACAATAGGTTAAATAGTAATTACGTCAAATTGCATCTATAAATTTTTAATATAATATTATGTAAAATAAAAAGAAATATTATCAAACATCTATATTATAATATAATATATTCTATTCTATATTTAAATTACAAAACATAAAAAATAAACATTAATTTTTTTTCACACGCTTACGATTTATGAACTTACGTTGAACATATGTTAAAATCAAACATTTGAGCGGAAGCATGGGTCAAGTTCTAGTTATGTTTAAAATACACGGCATTGGCAATAAAATTTTTATTTTCTTACGAAGTCAACTTGTTTAAACCAATAATCCTCTATGACTGATTTTTGGATTCATCCCCAGGGTGAATTTTTAGGTTCACCAACCAATAAGAGTGTATTATTATATATTTAAAATTAAAACAAAAATATATATATTATGTCTAAACTAAAAAAATAAAAATAAATAAAATAATGATAATATTTGCAACATAATTTTTTTTAAACATTTTGACACCGCCAGCTTCTTCCTAAACCCGAAACCCTAAATCATAAACTCTAAACCTTTGGATAAACCATAAGCCCTCAGATAAATCATAAATCCTAAAACAGAAACACTAAACAGTAAATCTTAAAAACACTAAATCCTTAATCATAACTCCTAAACCCTTGGATAAATTTTAAACACTAGAATTTATGGTTTATCCAAGAGTTTAGAGTTTACTGTTTAAGAATTTGTGTTTAGTATTTAGGTTTACTACATATGAGAAGTTCGTTAAGTCCATTATTTTTCCTTTTAATAATTAATTTTCGTCAATGTAATAATTGTTGACAAACTTCAAAATGAATTATGATTTTTCTTTTAAATTATGCTTAAAATACACAGCTTTGGTAATCAAAATTTTATTTGCTTCAAATTCGACCTTTTAACCTATATAATTCTTTATATACTAAAGAACCATTTCATAGGATAATCTGTTTAATTTATTTTCATAAAAAGAACATTCAAGATTCAAAATGATCAAATGAGACTTTTGTGAAGGGTAAATATACTTTATATCCTAAGGTTAATTAATCATAAACCTTTTTATTTAGAGTAAGGAATGGGGTTTTGGAGATATTGTTTAAAATATTCAAAAATTATAACATAAATATTAAAAAATTTAAAGAAAAAAATTGGTAAAATAAATAATTGGAAAACTTTTTTTTATATAAAAAAATTCAAAGCTGCAAACATATAATCCATAAATATAATTTTTTTTATTTTTTTATATATATTTACGAAGTAAGGACACAAAACTATTTTACCTCTTTAATAAAACCTATTTTGGTCATTTTTTATGATTCTTTTTGTGACAAAAACTTTAAAAATAGCTATTTATAAAAATTACCGTATTATATATGATAAAAGTAGAAAGTTAAACAAAATTTTGGAAATAAAAAAAAATTTAATAAAAGTATTTTAAAATTTAAAACAAAATAAGTAAAAATCACATGATGGCTACCGGGTTTTTAGCTAGTGGTTGAACCGATTGTCGGATTATTAAATAATGGTTAATTCTTAAAACTCAAATCGGATTACCTATCAGGTCACTGAGTTTACCAGTTTGATCACGGTCTCGTTTGGGCATCAAAACACTGACTTTGACCAATTTTGTTACGTGCATTCTCTTTGTTACGTACATTTTATCTTGGTTAAACTAAAAATGTTTCAAATATTTTTTTCTGTAAATCGAGTATTAATGGGCCAAAAGAGTTATAGACAGACAAGCACTTTGGAATGGCCTGCTTTTCAAACTCTAATGTGTTTATCTTATTATATAAAACTTGGTTTTTCAAATACACCGACTTTGACCAATTTTGTTACGTGCATTCTCTTTGTTACGTACATTTTATCTTGGTTAAACTAAAAATGTTTCAAATATTTTTTTTCTGTAAATCGAGTATTAATGGGCCAAAAGAGTTATAGACAGACAAGCACTTTGGACTGGTCTGCTTTTCGAACTCTAATGTGTTTATCTTATTATATAAAACTTGGTTTTTCAAAGTTATTAATTAACAATATTGTGATACATACCAATTATATATTTATGATTGTGACATGTGTTAAACTATTTCATAATTAATATATATTATAGATAATAACTAAAACAAATTTTGTTAAAAAAATAATTAGTAATATTATTAACTACCAATTGGCTTTCCTAAAATTCTAAAGAAAATATTATTGTAAAAGATTATTTGATAGTAGTTTTTCTCTTAAATTTTTTACATATGTTAAAATAAATCATGCTTAACAATATATATATACTAAGATGATAAAAGTGATTTTAAAAATGAAGGAAATTTTAAAAAATTAATTAATAGCAATTTTTCTAAACCATTTTGTTTTACAAAATTTAAACAAAAAATATTCCCAAAATAATTTTTTTGATACTAATTTTATTTTTCTAAAATAATAAAGAAATGGTAACTGGAAAAATATTTGATACTAATTATCCTTTTCTAAAATCTTGAACATAAGAAAATTATAAAAGAGCGTCTAATAGTAGTCTTCCATTCTTTCAAATCCTCAACAAATAATATTTGTCAAATAATTATTTGAAATATTTTTTATGTTCTTTTATGCTTAAACTCGTGATAATTTTTATTTTTATTATATTTGTCATACTGTCGTACGTCAGTTATTGTCATAGTTATACTTAGGTGTTTGTATGTAGTATATATGTTTTGATATTGTATGTAAGTTAATGTGTTTATTATACTTTTGTGTGTTTGTTTTATAGATAGGGGTGGGTATTTTTTGTATACTTAGTACTCGGCTTGATTTGTACGAGTAGTAAATTTTTTTACTTGTACTTGGTTTGTTAAAAATGAGTACTTGCAATTTCAAATACTTGCAAAAACATTATCGGATTTGCATGTTACTTGTTTTTTATTACTTGGTCTTTGTAAATTACTTACAATTTAACTGATAATTATTAGTAAATTATTTGATGATTCATT